CGCCCACCAAAGGTAGGGGCCGGGCTGGGGACTGGGGACGGAGGACTGGGGATGGGAGAGGCGCCCACAGCCACAGCGGCCCACGGGAGCCTGCCCAGGGCGCTAGGGAAGGGACGGGGCCTGGTTTGAGGCCCCCTCAAAGGGGGAAGGGAGGAGGCCAAGGTTTGAACCATCTGCATCAAACGGACTCTGTCAAGGTGAGCCTCAGGCCAGGCAGGGCCCTGGAGAACCCCGGAGGCAGGTGGGGAGGAGGCAGGCTGGGAGGGACGCGCTCCTGGTCAGCTTCCTGGAGCTCCGCGTGCGCGGTGGAGCCAAGTTCCTCGGGTGAGGAAATTCCACCGACGGCACTGCGGCTCCGGGACAGTGGGGCGGGGGGTGTGCCCAGGCCAGCTGCTGTGTGCAGGGCCGTCCAGGCCCAGCACCTCCAGGGCCCTTCAGAGCCGTGAGCCCTGCTCCCCCGCCAGCCTGCACTGGGTGGGCGCTGAGAGGGGCGCAGTGGCGGCTGGTGTGAGATATCTGTGCTCTTGGCTGTTTGCAGATGCTCCGCTCCCCGAGAAGGAAATCCCGTACCCCGCAGAGCCAGCCCGGGCAGGGCTTCCCTCGGGGGCCCCGTTCCACGTCCGCTCACCTCCCGCCGCGCCTGCTGTGGCCCCTCTGACACCAGCCAGCCTGGGCAAGGCGGAGCCCCTCACCATCCTGAGCCGAAACGCCACGCACCCGCTGCTACACATCAACACGCTGTACGAGGCCCGGGAGGAGGAGGAAGGGGGCCCCCGCCTGCCTCAGGACGTGGGGGACCTCATCGCCATCCCTGCCCCGCAGCAGATCCTCATCGCCACCTTCGACGAGCCGAGAACGGTCGTGAGCACTGTGGAGTTTTGAGGGATGGCACCGCCCAGGCCGTCAGAGCCCCTCCAGATGCCTCCCGGCGGACACCAGCCCTGCGTGGACGTGGCCTCTGCTTCGACCGCACTGCCCACATCCCCAACCTCCGTCCGCATGCCTGGGGCCCCCACCCCACCCGCTCCACAGGGGAACCCGCCCCGACGGCATCGCCAGGCACTGGCTGGGGCGGGAGAAGGTGGCCCCGTGGAGCCGGTGGCCAGGAAGGCTGAAGCCGGCCTCCCATGCTCCTGCATCAGGCGCCCAGCCGTGGGTGGGGGCCTCCAGATGAAGAGTTTATTTTTGTAGTCCGTTTCGTCCTGGCCCCGGGCTGTGGCGGATCAGCCCAGCTCCCCCAGCCCAGAGCCAGGGAAGAGGAAGGTGGAGCCGGTCCCACCAGTGGGGTGGCCACGCCCATGGGGTCACGTGCTCAGGGGTCACCCCCTGCAGGGACCTGATGCCCTCGGGTGGGAGGGACCGAGGTCCACCCTCGGGTCAAAGATCAACATGCACTTTCTCCTTGTCGCCTGACATACATTTTATTTTACTAAGACTGCTGTACCGAACAAGCATATTTATCATCAGGAGACTTAGGATGGGTTTAAAGCAGGATGGTGTGTGTGTGTGAACGGGCATGAGCAGAGGTGGGCGTGAGCAAGCGGGTGTGTATGTACGAGTCTGCACGTGTGTGCATGTGCACAGAGGGTGTGGTGCCAGCTTGGGTGGGATTGTGTGTGAGCAGGCGGGTGAGTGAGCGAGTGCACGCTGGCGCGTGGCCCATGTATGAGGAGGGAAGCAGCCCAACGCAATAACCACGTCCCCCACCCGGGCCCCCTGCCGTGGCTGAGGCCACACGGCTTCCTGTGGGAGCCCCGGCTGGCACCCGGCTGGTCCCACCCTGAATACCTCAGCCGTGGAGGCCATGTGATGCAGAATTAACAAGGTAGCACCGAGCATATCAATAAATATTATTCTGATAACCGCCTGTGCTCGGCCGGGGACTTCGCCTCCCTCCACACCCGTCCCCTGACTCGGCGCCTCTCGTGGGGGTGCTGGGGGATGTGGGGCAGGGGCCGCCTTCAAACGCGTGGTGGGGGCCCCTCTGCACCCACAGCAGGTGTCACACTTGGAGCAGGACATGCCCTGGACTCAGGCTGTGGGCACGGAGGCGATTCAGCTGTGGCCTGAAGCCCTTGGGCACACAGGCTTGGGAGACGAATGCACGACCCCCTTAGTCTTCCCGCTCCTGCAGGGGAGTGAGGAGGGAGAGTGTGAGGCACCCTCTAGGAGAACAGAGAGCTGGCAGGATCCAGGAAGGCTTCCTGGAGGAGGTGCCCTCAGTGTGGTCTGGGACGCTCAAAACAACATGGAGGTCCTGTGCAGACGCCTTTGCTGGGGCCAGGACTCCATGGAACAAGGCTGGTCCCATGCGTGCACCATGGAGCCACGTGCCCTGTAGACCCCGGCAGGTGACCCTGAGAGTCTGAACAGAGGCTCCTTGAAGACAGGTGGCTGGGCAGCGAGGCCAGAACCCCATGGGGGCTGGAGTGGGGTCGGTGGTGTAGACCACTAATTGCAAGGGTGGGTGCTGCTGAGATCAGAACGGTCTCACCTCCCGCCTGGCCTGGGTTTCCTGGAAGCCCCATCGCCAGGCCCCTCCTGGAGCAGCCCTGAGTGGGCAGGGCAGGGCTCCCCGGGTTCCCAGGAGTCAGGAGGAAGGGTCTCTCCAGGGTGTGGCCCCCACAGCCAGGGCCTAGTGTGAGACACACCGGGACACAAGCTGGAGGGTGTATCTCGCCCTCCACATTAAAACGGAGGTTTTTATACTCTTCTGGGCTGGCAAGGCCTCTTGCCATTAAAAGAGCTGGGCCAGGCACGAGGGCATACACCTGTCATGGGAGGCTGAGGTGGGAGGATCACTTGAGGACAGGATTCGAGGCTGCAGTGAGCCATGATTGCGCGACTGCACTCCAGCCTGGGCGACTCCACGAGACCCTGTCTCTAAAAAAAAATAAAAAATTTACTCAGATACCCCGTGCCACCCAGGGCCACGCAGGAGGGCACCGGATTGTCACAGACACAGGCAATGGGGGGAAGCGTGGGCAGGGCCTTCACCGTGACTCCACCAAAGGAACGAGTGGGGTGGGGCCACAGGCTCGGGACTCCAGAGTGGACACCCTGGTGGGTGCTGGGCAGGGGCTGCCCCTGGCTGCCGGGTACGTAGCCCAGGGCGATAAGGGCAGGGGGATAGGGCCTAGTGTGTGAGAGCCCACGGAGGAGGCCTGGAGGGGGTGTGGGCCCTGAACCCAGGAGCTTGCACAGGAAGTTGTTTGCTGACAAATTGGTGGGCCCCAGGAGAGGCAGTCTCACCAGGGCCAGCAAGGCCCCGGAGGTCAAAGCAACGAAGCAGAAAATAAAAGGCACAGTTTGGCCGGGCGTGGTGGCTCACACTTGTAATCCCAGCACTTTGGGAGGCTGAGGTGGGCAGATCATCAGGTCAGGAGTTTGAGACCAGTCTGGCCAACATAGTAACACCCTGTCTCTACTAAAAATACAAAAATTAGCCGGGCGTGGTGGTGTGCACCTGTAATCTCAGCTACTCAGGAGGCTGAGGCAGAAGAATCGCTGGAACCCAGAAGGTGGAGGTTGCAGTGAGCCAAGATCGTGCCGCTGCACTCCAGCAGCATGGGCGACAGAGCGAGATTCCGTCTCAAAAAAAAAAAAAACGCAGTTCTTCATGCTCACCTAACTCGGGACACCTCCCCAGCCTGCACACCCATGTGCCCAGCATTCCCACAGATGCCAGCCCAGGCCAGCCTGGTTGTGCAGGGAGGGCTGAGCCCTGGGCCTTGGCAGTATCGCCTTGGTCCTGCACCCACAGACCAGCTCAGTGGCGAGGGTGGACAGGACATGGCAGCTGAGGAGACCTGAGGGATGCTGGCCTCCAGTGGTAGCGTTTGCCATAGGCATCCTTGCTGCTCTCAAGCTGGGGCTGAGGTCCTACCTCCCGGGCCCTCCTCATCCTCACACGTGCACCCATCCTCCCTGCCCCAGAGGCCACCCAGCATCCCACATGGCTCGGCTCAGAGAGGGAGACGTCCAGTAGTCCTTGGGGGCAGCTGGTCTGGGTGGTGCTGAGTCCCTCAGGCCCTGTCTCCCAGATCGTGAGAGGGGAGTTGTCGGTGCCCAGAAAACGTCTAGGCCGATGTGGGGCTTGAGTTGACCTGGGGGACAGAGGAGGCCTCAGGTGGAGCCACCTGGAGTCTTCAATGGGGCCAGGGCCATGGGCAGCAGCCACGCTGCCCATCCCCCGCCTGTGGGCCTCAGCCTGGCAGGAGGTGTCAAACCAGCTCCTGTCTGGAAAGAAGTTCGTGCCTCAAGTGAGCACCCCGCCCTGTGCTGGAGCCAGCCCTCCTCGCGGCCCATGATGGGGAACTGGTGTCCGTCCTACAGTGAGACACTGGCTCCCGACTCTCCCAGGCAACGTCACCATCTCATCCCCAGACCTGTTCCTCTGGCTATGTCCTTGCCAGCTGTGCCACGTTCCTAGAGGCAGGCGGGCAGAGGCCTGAAAGGGTGGCGCTCACCCTTGGCACTGGGTCAGGGCTGAACCAGCCCCAACCCCCTTCCCTCATGGGGCTCCCTCCCTCCCCTTGCCCCAACGCCCACTTCTGTGGGATCTGTCACTCTGCTCTGAATGGGACTTGGCCCTTCCTCAAGGTCCACCCCTTGAGGACAAAGCCAGCTGGGGACCAAGACTGTCCCTCCCAGCACAAATGACTTCACACAGTTTGTTTCTGTTCACGAGGGCCCCCACCCTCCCTAGGATGACTCCTCACTGCCCCCAGGGCACCTCAAGAAACACCTCCTCTGGCCGCTCCATGAACAGGGCATCCACACGGCCAGCCCCCCGGGGTCGGGGCCTCAAAAGCTCTGGCACCCCAGGGTGCACGTCCTCCACCTCCACCTGACCCTCTTCCCAAGGCAACCCCACCTGCCCCCTACGGCGAAGGTACAGAACCTGCCCAGAGAAGAGCAGGCTTGGGAGCAGACCTTTAGAAGACAAGCTCAGCCTGGGATGTGGGTGGTGGTGCAAGGCCAGCGGCTGAGGTCCTGCCTCAGTTTCCCCCGCATGCTCCCAAAGGACTCAATCTCCCCCTGTTCTGCTTCTCACCCCCAACAGCCTAGTGCAGCCCTGCAGGGGACCCCAGCCGGATCAGAGGGCAGTTCTGCTTCTCCACTGTCTACTGCCCAACCGGGGGCTGGGATCTCGGACACCCTCCCCTCCCCGACTGGCCACCTTGCCCAGGTGAGTCAGAGGGTCGTTCTGCAGCGCAAGGGCTGGCGTTGGTTTGAAATAGTGCCTCCTCCTCCTCCCTGAGCATAGGCAGGCCTGGCAGGTGGATAGTACTATCCCTCTCGTGGAGAAGGAGGGGCTCCAGGAGGACCTTGCACCCATTCCAGACAGCCAGACGGCCAGGACCGAGAACCCAGGCCTCCAGCTCCCAGGCCAGGGATCTTCCCTCCACACCAACCTAGCGCTGAGAAATGGATGAGGTAGAGCTGGGGCCACTGCCAACCGCTGCCCTCCTGTGAGGATGTGGCCGAGGTGGTCAGAAAGGCAGAATGACCACAAAGGCAGCAAATAATGAGAATGAATGGAGAGGGTGTGAGCCAGAGGCCCTAGGGCCCAAAGTGAGTGTCCTTCACTGAACCAGGAGGACAGAGGCCTCTTTGGGGACCAGGAAGCTGTAGGAGGGGGCGGAGCCTCTTGTGTAAGAGAGTTCAGTGGGCAGCCAGCCCAGACTGCTGGAGGGAGCCCAGCCTGCTGCTGTGTG